AAATCGTTAATTCCGTTGTTACGCCCGCGCTCCTTTTTTTCCCTTCCAGTCAGAAAATTTATTACTCTCGCACGTTCGAGTTATCCTTCTTTTTGCTCGTGGACAACTTGAGAAATTAATAAAATGAATCGTGTCCTCCATCGACTCGATCTAAATTTCTCCTCGTAAACGTGTGTCGTGTTATTTGCATCTGATCTACCAGATAGTCGAATGAAAAATTCATTCAAGAGTTGATTACAATCGAATAATTAGGCGAATTGGATTTAAAAATATTCCGGTCAAGAAGTTTTTTACAACGTTTGACCGAGAAACGGAGAACTTACGCTCACGACCGACCGATACCTTAGTGAACATGATGCCTTTTCATACGCTACGTCATACTAACACGCTTAGGAAACCGGCTGCAAATGCTTGCTGTCGATTGAATTTCCGAATTATTCCGTCAAAGGGCTTGTTACGGAGTTTGTGTATAGAAACGAACGTCCTGTATATTCGAATTGATCGAATAGAGTTGGTCAATAGTAGTAGCAGTAGTAGTAGTAGTAGTAGTTCAAACAAGTGACAATTAATTCTTGACGCGTTTCTACTTTTCGAAACATTAGCCTTTCTCCATTAGGTATCTGTTCTAATCTGACACGATCGTTTCAGTATCTTTTTCATATTTTTATTGTAAATCATAATTAACATTTTATCGTATCGCGTCTATTGCGCGCAACACAAGTGAAATTATCGAAGACTGGAAAACAAGGTGAAAATGCGTGAAAATAATTTATTTTTTCATTTACATGTACATAAATATACTTGCATACTTTCTCGATTCTCGTTCGTTTTTCTTAACAAAATGACTTTAATGATAAACGGACGGAACGGAATTTTTTTTTATCTAAATGCGCGAAAGGAAATTAATGAGAGAATTATATTATAATAACAATGGGAATCGCTTATTCTGAAATAGTAATAAAATGCTCCAAATCTTGGAGACATTTTAATTTCAACTAAGCAATAGAAAGGTTAAAAGCAATTAAAAAATTTTAAACAAGCATTAGAAATGAGTTAGAAGTACGGTTGTGATACGTTGAGAGTAAAAATAGCGAAATCTAATTATCCCAATCAAATGAGAAGTTTGTTAGAGAATCATAATTTCTTTTTTTTTTCTCTTTCGAAGCAACCAGTCTCTGTTTTCAATAATTTATCTGATTCGAATAATTCTAGCTCTTTATCATATTTATTACGTATATAAATATTTATTATGTATATAAAAATATTGATAAGAATCTTTATTTTTCCGTTTATACTTTATTTTCTTATCTTAGAAGATAATCTTGAAATCAAAATTGTTATTGAAGAATATAAAATTCTCCTTCGATAATAACATTAATTCTTCTTTTATAATATAAGATAATTGAGTTAACTGCGAGAACTTTTTCCATTTACAAATTCATTACAAGGGCGTTACAAATTTAATAGCGAACGATGTATAAATGAAGATTAAAAGTCGTTTTGAAAAGGCTAGAAAATAACATTGACATTTAGCGATTCAATCGTTAAACTGCCGTATTAATTAGAGTCGGTCAAGGATCTTGGCAAGAAGGTGTTTAAACTTGTAAATCGATAGGAATATTAGAAGTTAGCAGAGATAAAGAACGATTAGCTTTAATGCACCGAGCAAATTACGGAATGCTTTCCTCGGTTGTTATTTCAACATAATTTCCGCGCAATTAGTCGGGAAGGTTTGCGCCAGACCAGAGGGGTATATCTCAATTAATTTATCGGAGCTAAGTGTGAAACTCTGAGTGTACATAAAGATTGTTAACGCGAGAACACCAACTCGGTTGACTCAATTGAACAAGATTATTCCCTCCACCTGCGGAAATTTCAAATAATTTTTAAACAGCATTGGAACAAAGCTGGGAGAAACAAAAATGGGAGGAACAGGGGATCGAGCAATTCGATCCTGACTCGTAACAGATAAATCGTCGTTCGTCGGCACGAACAAACTCTATTGTTTTTCCAACGTTCCGTCTGACGCGGAACGATCGTTTGCCACGTCCGTGGAGCACGTTTTAATTAAATCTCGGTTATCTATCGGTCACACTCACAACTACATTCTTCACGGCCGATGCGTGACTAAACGCGTATCGGCAATATCGCGACAATACCACTTGGAACTTTGCACTCGGGCTATCGGTGTAATTGAACCGATATCGGATCACTCGATTAAGCGAGTCTGACGATTCTTACTCACGAACGAACCTCGAAATCTTTTTTCCAACAAACAACAGATAGAATGTTTTAATCCCCCGTTTTAATTTCATTGTCAACTTGGATTGACAAGCTTATCTGTGGAAATTTTCTCATTATTTTATTATATTTTATTATTCGATAATTGTACTTATATTTACACACGTTAAATATTCTTGACTTTTTTTTTTTTTTTTTTCACTCGAAAAGGTCAAATACGCAAGGTATTTTTAATTGTCCCTCGGTTCGAATTCAACTTCGATATTCCCTCTTGTGCTATCAATTAGAGGAATTAGAGGTTTTATATAGTTGAAAATTAAGCATCAAGAGGTATTTACTATAAGATTTCCCATATTCCCTTATTATATACGAGCTGGTTTACGAGCGGCAAGAAATCGATCCGATCGGGGATCCCATATTCGACTCTGTTGCCTCGTCTTCGTGGCACATAATGGGGAAAGGCCGATGAAGATATTGACCGGTGATTATCTATTTATCTGTCTCTCTGTTTCGTACGAAACTTTCGAAAAAAGTTATCTGCCTATCTTATCTGTTTATCTTATCTTTCTAGCTTATCTATCTGTCTATTTTATCTATTTATCTCTATTTATAAAAAATCCAATTACTATGCGGTCACGAAAATAAAGTTGTCTCTCGATGATATATCACCTCACCCGTACGATATGCCAGTTACAAGTGATCTTTTAACATCCAGACACGCAAACTTTGTATCATTAACTCCTTCGTGTCCTTTCCAGATGCCGAAATCCCAAGCGACACACGGTTCGAGCAGCAATGCATCTATTTATTCCGCATATTCCGATATTAAAGTATCCGGGATGAGCGAAGAGTTACTAGAGGTTTTTTTTTCACTTACTAGGGATTGCATTCGATTGGATGAATCGAAATCCACGAGGGAATTCGTCGAAATTTACGTCGAAATAAATATGAGAGGATAGTTACAGAGAGGTGGAAAAATATTTCGTTCACGATTATGATTCAACAAACCTACACGCAATCAGTCCGAGTTTCTTTTAAGTTCCACAATTTTCGAAAACAGTTTATGTTTTCTTCCCCGTAATCTGATAATTTGAAAGGGCTCTTGGATCATCCGATAAAAATGTGCAACAACGATTAATTTAATTATCGTGCCTCGTAACATTGGCAAGAATTTAAATCTCGCGATAGATAAGCTGAAAAACTACAAACTTAATCGTTGGAACGATTAAATTTATCATTCGTTACTGTATTGCAATCGTATTAATCGGTTTTCTCTCTATTGCGTAAATGCGACGAGATTTTCTTTCTTTCTTTAAGAATACATTTTTGCAAACAAATGCAAATGTTCGAAACAAAAGAGCTTCCCTCGTTACTTATTCCTCCCTTTCTAGTCGAATCGTCTCTTTTCGAAGATCGTTAAGCTGTAATGGTACAATCTCGTATATGTAATCGAAAAGAGTCGTTTCGATGTTCCATCCTAGAGAATTGCTATCTAAGATGCAAATAAAATTACTGATCAAGTGTTTTTTCTTTCCTTTTTATGAAGAGATATACAACAAATATACAAATCGTATATTTTATTATTCAACTTTGATGCGATGATTAATCATCTATTAATTAAAATTAAAGAATTAAAGGAATAACAAAAACTTCGTATTTTCTATTAAAAAGGATTCGTGTCGAAATTGCTTTAATCCCCGGATCACTGGTCAAATATCATGACTCTGCTTGTTTTTATTATCTTTCTTTAAAAATCTTTTCCCTTGTTTCTGAATATATTATACTAACGATTAATTACAGTGCTCCTGTTTCAACAAGATATCTCTATCATTAGATACGGTACACAAGATAATTAAAAGGGATCTACACAAAGTCATTTAAGTTAATAATGCTATTAGCTCGGATATTCTACAAGCTTGAAAATTTCGTTTAAAGAGGGACAATTCGTTGAGAAATATATTCCCTTTAAATAATTCTTTTCAGATTTCTTAAAAGAATCGAAGAAATTATGCGGCGTATAGCGTGACACGATAAACTCTGCGAAACACGTTATACTCTGATTATACGCATGTGTGTGGTTGCACACTCTCTTTGCTTTTCGCGTACTTCTGTCTGTAAAAAAAAAAAAGTATTCACGTTTCGAAACTCCAGCAAGTACTTCAGTCGTTTTTCCGTTTCAACCCGTTGGCCAGGTTATCTCTTCTTGTTTCTCTTCTTCCGCACCGGAATTTCATCTAGCGAAATTTCATATTTTCTCGCGATATCTTTTTTGCGTTAAATTTTCGTGAAAATAACGCTACCTCTTTCGTTGATGAATTTTCACGCGGATTTACTTTCAGCGAAGCAACATTTATCATTGACATTTGCGATACGAATAAAATTATTCGAATCTTCGACAGAAAATTCAGAGGACAATTATTTCGAATATTTTGAGAATTGTCCCCTGTAAAGTTGAGAACCCAAAGATTAGTTATCATATATTGGAAACGTGGTGTGCAACAACACGTTGTAAGATAATACGATTCAACGGCTGAGAGTTACCTTGCTCATGAGTGCGTGTAGCATATAAACGCCTAACGAAGATACAGGCGCAAGGGATGCAAGTTTACACATGGATACGCGCAGTCACATGCACACGAGTATGATGAACGAGCCAAACGAGCCATATTTCCATGTAGATAGTTATACAAGTGAACCACTGTCACGATACTGGCCGATCGAATTTTAACTAGATCCAGGATTACCAGCACTCCCACTCGTACGAATCGATCGCAGAAAACCGAAAATTGAAACTGCATACTCCAATTAATTAGAACAATGTTTCGTTTGCAAATGTTGTGATTGAAATTTGTATATGGATTTCACTGTTTCTATAAATGACTAATGTAATATTAATGGCGCGTCAAAATTCCATAATGATAAGGAATCCTGTCCAGTCCCTTTAGTTTCGTTTTAATAAATGATTTTATCGTTACTGTAGTTGTAAAAAACGATAATTACGACTAGCTCATGACTAGTGAATTATTCCGTGTATTCTCTCGCGTATCTCTTATCAGGCAGTGAACATCGAAATCTGAAACAATATCCGAATTATAAGCTATAAAGCTGGTTCCTATATGCCTTGATTCCTAAAGTACACCTTTATATTTTATCACCTCGTCGTATAGTAACAATATACTTAATTCGTTTTTTTTTCTTTCGTTTCTACTTTTCTTAAATTCAATAACGAATAATAATCAAAATGACGTATGTTATATTTACATTTAATAAAGTTTAATTTTTTAATTGTAAATTATTTTCATTTTATTATAAAAGATTATTGAATACAAATCGTACAAGATAAATATTTTAAGAATTAAAATGATAATTAGATAACGCTTGTACATATATTATCCGCGGGAAATATGTCGATGTAAAAATTATTAAATTCTTTTCAAGGCAAACTAGATATTTGATAATATTATTTCCTAATTCGTTCACGTTGGAAAGAATCGATAATTCGAAAAAATTGATCGTCAACTGTATAATTTGCGAATTTCGGTTTTACCGAGCGGAATAATGTCGATCACGAAGTTCATTTTGTTGGGTTAATGCAACCAATGGCTTCACAATGTTATATTTATATTCCGTTCGGTTAACAGATTCCATATATCTCTCGATAAAAAATTATTTGTATCTCATTTTGTATCATTAAAAAAAGATTTTGTTAATACTTACACAAAATGATTCACGAACAAAATGAAAAAGAAACTTTGTCGAGGCGTGTTATATATTGTAGGTTTCGCAAAATGGATTGCATAACTGGTTGAATTTTTAAAAGTAACAATCGAATCTATCAATCAAAATGCATATTTCCTTTGTGAATGGTTGCATCAACTTTTTATAGGTAACATCAAAATTTCGTATCAAAAATATAACTCATCTGTGATATCGTTCATCGTTAAAAAAATAACAGAAAAATATTTACATGGTTCACTTTCTAAAAATTGCATTACAATATATGAAAATAAATACAATTTTTATTTCTTTCATTAATGTTAATTTCTTTATATCACAAATTTTATCGTTTTCTATATTTTTTATTCCAATCATTTATTTACATGTCAATTATGGTAACAGTATCAAATACAAGCTTAATTGAAGTTTACCGTAGCGTAATAATATGTTCACGCCAACCACACCGCTCAATGTTTAAATATCTGTTTCGTTCGTAACATAAACGACGATACCATCCTAATATAATATATTATTCATATTATTTTCTAATTTACATATATATTTTTATTGATTTAATTAAATTAGAAGAAAATGGAAAAAAATTACTTAACAAACATACATAGAACGAGATATAACTTATTTTTCGTTCATCGGCCAAGAGGAGGCGTCAGTGCAAAATGGCAGCTAACAGCCTCGCATTCACAAAAATTACGTACTGGGTATGTCTTGATTGCCATACCCCGCTAGCATGGTACTTGACCGTGCTAACGCGATATTAAAGTAGCGAGCACCCTTTTTAAACGAACCGAATCTCGCTTTCGCCTTATGTTACGTATTACGCTCTATATTGAATGCGAGAATCATTACGAGTATCGAGCCATCTGTTGCACCATCTGAGAACTAAAAATGTCGATGCTCATCTTCACTGACAAAATATTCGAATTGATTTTAAAGAAGATAATTAAATAACGAAAATGTTGAAATTGCGATTGGCAATTGGAAAATGAAATGAATAACAAGAAACGAAGTTCTTTCGACTTTCTGATATTATTTCAATGGTATTTAAGAACGTATATTTAGTCACGCTCCACAAAATATTAATTGTAGAATTTTCAATAGAGATGATGTCGATAATTTGATTAACTATCAAGATTTCCAATCATGTCGTTGAGTTTAGAAAATTTCGGAGCGAATACGATATCGGCTTTTCACTGGAACGTTCGTTATTAGCCACGCGAAGAGATATTGTAATCAAGTTAATTAAAATTTGAATAAAGACATTTGTGTCCATAGGACGGGTCCTATTATTCGAAACTAGCTAAAAGTCGCTGACGAGCCAAAACGAATATACCGCTCAAATGATCCGATGATTAAAAAGGAAACTTTAATCTTCGTTGAAAATTAAAGCGCCCTTTATCTTGGATGCCACGATTTTCGTCTCTCAATATATAAAGAAAAAAATGTTGTTAGAATATGAAAAGCAGTTTGAATATCAAACGAAGAATAACTTGATCGACTCATGAATTTATTATCATTCAGCTGTTGGTTAGCCAAACTTTCCAAGGAAAGTTTCGACGTGTTGCGGATTCAATCATCGAAATGAATAAAAAACGAGACGACGATCGTTTCTTAAAATTTACGCATTGGATAAACTCAATGAATATTAGATGCCGTAAATTATCGAATGAAAATACCGTCGAGCGAATCCCGTCGACGGAGCGTTCAATTCTGTAATTAAAGCAGCCGGGGCTTTTGCATTTTGCCGCTTCTCGAATCGTTGGCCCAAATTCGAGAGGATGCTTATATACTGTTGAAATAAATATACGAGAAAAGCTCAATTAATGCTACGAGTCCGGTAACGAACAATATCATGCTTAGATATTTTGTTCACGCTATCGGATGGACGTGCACGAAATCTGTAATGGCGTATTTGAAAAAAGAACATAAAAACGCAAATTTCAAACGAATATAAAAGCAGCTTGGTCTCCAAAGATTTCCGGTTACGATTTTTCTAAATAGAATCGCGTGAGATGTATGAGAAGTGGTTAATTAAAAAGTATCGTGAACGAATCCAGGCATAATTATCTTACCTGGAGATACGGTACAGCTTTGCACAAGGTTAAACCAAGAAACCAGGTTTCCGTGATGTCCCATAACACGGTGAATGGAAGACAAAGTAATAAAACTAGGAAATCGGCCACTGCCAAATTGACGATAAAATAATTCGTCACTGTTCTCATCGTATGATTCCTGTAAACGGCGATGCAGACTAGGGCATTTCCAATTAATCCGATGACGAAGACGATGCTGTGCGACGCGATCAGCACCCAATCCCAAAATTTGGGAAATATGTAATTCATCATACGATCCACGTACTCTTCGTTCGAGATGCAGTAAATATTTGTGCAATTGGTGGCATTGTAATCCGATTCATCGGTGTAATCCACTAAAAGATAATCGTCCGAATCAGTGGCATCGATTAACGCGAATACCATCGATCCCAACCACGTCATAATTATTGGCTCGAACGGATGCATCTTCCTTCTTTTTTTTTTTTTTTGTTTGAGAGAATGTTTACGCGAGTATAGACATCGATATCGATAACACGTCACTCTCTTGGGAAAAATTCAACAAACAATTTCCTTTTTACAATTCAGTAAACAATTTTCTTTTACGCGCTGTGTTGTCGCGTTAAATTTTCATTTCGAACATTCTCAGGTTCCACATTTTCTCGAGAAATTTTTAATGTTCGAGATCGAAGAAAAGAGAGAAGTACAAGCTTGCGAGTGAAAAAGTTATCGCTTCAGATTGATTCACTTTGCCTATTTCCCACCAATTTCCATGACATTAAAGATAATTCTTCTCGCCTTTTTCCTTTCCTTTCCTTTCCTTTTTTCACCAGCGTCATCGCCTATAAGGCGAAAATCGTCGATGCTTCGACTTTTACTCGATCCAGCATCGCGAACTATTAAAATGATTTAATTCTTAGTGGAAAAGGGGAATTATTGGGAAAGATTATTGAATAAAAACGTTCATTTTTTTTCTTCTCGCTCTCGGTCGATGTCGTAAAAATCATATAAGCTTGATAAACGAAGAAAGTTTTCGATGCCGCGTGTTGTAATTCTTCAATTGTCGATTTAACAAATGAAATTTTTGTAACAAAAGTAGTTTACAAATAGAAAGATTCACGAGTTCGCTTTTATCCGATTCTTTTAGATGAAAGTCTTTTCTGTTTCCCTCCTCTTTTATTTGATTTTTCTCGAACAGATTGGTAGACGATAAATCTGATATGTAATTAATATTGTAGAATATTACTCTTTTTGTCTTGTTCTTTCTCGAAAAAGATCGAAATCGAGAGTTCATTCGAGAAATAGAAAAATAACAAATAATTCGCCAACGTGTTTTACCTCGTTTAAAGGGAAGTTTTGTTTCCCTCCTTTTTTTCCCCTTTCGATTTTAACGTTTGACCGGCTCTAGGGAAAAAGTTCGATTAATTTTTTACGAGATTGTGATAAAATTATCAGAAACTGGTAAAAGGTATTTTGTGATTAAAATTAATATTAAACGTACTTTCGTGTTTATTCTTAATTACCAAGCAAATTAACGTGGCTTTTAGAACGTTAAACTACCATTGAAAATTCCGACATTCGTTTCCCTTGTGGAACGAGATATCGATGATATCGATCCAATTCTCAGAGGAAAATTTAAGTTTGTCGATTCGAAATTGTAATTTAATTGAAATTTTAATCGATATGAATCGATTGTTATAACATCACGTTGGATTTAAAATGGAATTTAAAATGGTGATGATCGTGATACAAATTCGATTAAATAAAGATCTTATTAATCGTCATTACCGTTAATTTGTTCGAAACTTTCATCAAATTTTTGTGTTCGTATTTTCAATTTATAACGAATGTTCAATTCGAAATTTTTTATTGCGAAAAAATTTTTGGAAAACGACCTTGGATTTTCTCTCGATGAGCAATGTTCATAGCAAAAAAAAAAAATCACTCACAGATTATCCTATTAATCTTGCGCGTTTTTCTAACTCATCTGGGTTGACAATGACAACCTACATTCATTTCAATTCATCAAAAAGATCAAGACCATTCCTTCATCTTCCCAACAATAATGCTAATGACAAAAATCATGTGAATCGTCCACTATCGAATTGAATCAACTATTTTTATTTTGATACACGATGTTATTATATCCCTTTTCACACTATGATTCGAACATTAACGCGGATTTCGAAGAAATTGATAGATATTTTATTTTAAAGTTCAAAATATCTCGTCTCTGATTTTTCATTCGTTCCAATGCGCAAGAACAGAAATATATTGTAAATCTGTCAACTACAATTGTCCAAGAAACATTATATTCGTTCTACTTGAAAACTTTAACACGTTCCTTTTTTTCTCATTTGTCATTTCCGTTTTCGTGCATACACATAGCGCGACAAAACAGGAGGGAAAATTTTCGAGGAAAGTTCGACTTTGTCCCGTACAAGAAATCTGAAAGAGTGTTTAAATTTACATATTTTTGTTTTTTTAATCATTCTTATTAAAAGTTGTTGAATAATGTTAATGTACTTTTCTATTCACGGTATTCAAATGAAACTGGAGGAATCAGTTCGCATGTAATATGCATAAGAATCGTTAAGAATCTCCAATCGAGGCGGAAAATATTTTCAAGATGAGAATATTCTTAAACTTTTCTCTCAAATATTTCACAAATTATTTTATTACAAGTTCTGTGAAAATCCAAATGTTTTTCAATAGATCTTATTATTCAACTTATTATTAACCACTTTTTAAAATTCTATCCAAATCAATGATCACTTATTTATTACCTAACATCGAACGTCTTTGTTCGTCGACACTATACCCGAAACATTATTCGGCATCATTATTACGTGATCTTTTATTATATGTGTTTACACATTAGATTTATCGTGCAAAAAAGAATTATTATTTATCATTGTAATTCTTGTAAATAAATAATGGTGAACATTTTGCATATTCGAGCGACTAATTTGTAAGAGTTTTACAATTGCCTCGGAAATTCGTATTGCATATTAGATGTTTAACATCGATAACACTATTTTGCAAAAGGAAAATGTGTAACAGCGTTCGTCGATCGAGCATGTTTGAATAAGTGAGCTCGATGTTCCGTGATGTGTCACGGTGACGAGACACGAAGGGCCCCCCAGCTTGGCAAAGGGATGCGAACGCGACGACGGACTCTGCGAAACTGAGGTATGTACGTCGTTTTAACGAGCGTGTAGGTGCACCAGTACCGTGTCGGGACCAAGGCACGTTTTGTCTCAAAGTTTTCCGATATCCAAACTTGATGGACACCCTGGCGAATTTTCCCTGTCTTGACATATTCGCTATTAATCGAATGCGTGTCATCGATGACGAGTAATTAAAAAAGAGAATGATTTAATGAAATAGATATTTTTTCCATTCGATACTTTCTATTACGTCAAGAGGATGGTAAATATTTATATTTTATTCTCATTAAATAAAAAAAAATATACACTTTCATAGCTTTAAATTTTTTTTCTTTTTTTTATTTTCTTTGAAGATAAGTGCAAGTGCATGTTTACTTTCATCGATAAATTCTATCTAAAAAAATAAAATTTCTATCTCAATTTTACGATCGCAGTTTATCACGATATCAATCGGAAATGATATGATGATCTTTTCTCTCTCGAGAAGATTCAATTGTAATTATTTCATATAGGAGCATAAGTTCAGTGAAACAGATATCAGTTTCGTTGAATCGTAAATCCTCGATGGTCTTTACTCACGAAAGATATAGATACAATAGAGGAAAAGTTAACGCGATATTTTGTATAAGATTCCACATGTTCCGATCAATAAAAAATTCTGAGCCAATTCTTTGCCAATTGGCGTTCATTTTTGCTATCCCTTCGAAATCTCTCGGAAAGAAAAGATATTAGAAAAGAGTTCCATTCAAGAGATTAAATTCCAATAAGGAATTCCTTTCACCGACCGCATTGATTACAGTCTGTGTTTCCGCATGATATTTAAAGATTTCCTCTACGTGCATATAGTTCCTCGTTAGTTTGCTCGATTACATCGCTCATTTATCATTTCTGTATCAGATTAAATCTTTTTCAATCAACCTCTTTTTATTTTTTTGACGTATTTGTCTTGTTAATGATAAGAGTAAAAATATTTTGCTATGTGAATATATTCTTTTTTTTCTGAAGAGATATACATATATAATTCTATATTTATATATATTTATCTTTTTAGATAACTTTAAAAGTTCAAAAAAGTCATCGTTCATTTTTACAATATTTATTTACGATTTATTTCGCGTAAAATATGAATGACAAAATTTAACAAAGATTTACATTTTATTTTAGCTTTCAATCTTACGATATTTTAAGGATATTTTTCTTCTCTCTCTTTCTTGAATTTTAAAACAAATAAAATGACAAATACATTTTAATAAAAGATACATCGATAAATACTTATTTTCACCGAAGATACATCAATTTAATTAACTTATTTGCTGGAAAATAGTACCTTATTATTCTTTAATTATACATCTAAAGACAAAATAAATATAAATGATCGATCGTTACTTCTTCATGCTAAAGGAATTATAATCTTAATTAAATATACGATGTTAAAATATACGATGTTTAAATCGTTTTACGTAGATAGTTATGATATATATAAAAACTATATGCGTCATGATAAATCAGATCAAAATAAAATTATCGGTATTTAATGTATATTCATTTAGTATAAATACTAAATGTGAAAAGTTGAAACTATTTTATTGTGTTGATTTTTTTTTCAATTTGTTTTATACCATTTTCTTTGTTTTCTGTTTTCAATACGTACATTTATATCGTTATTTTTTAAAAGGATTTAAAAAAATTCAATAGAGAAAAAACGATTTTAAATAATTGCAAAATTTATTTTGTGATGAAATTACTTAACGATCAATCGATCAACATTTATAGATTCACGTATATTAAAATATATTTTTTAAGCTTAATCGATTGAATTTATTGTGTAAAGTACAAAGTAAATATAAAAAAAAAATTGTTTAGATAATGTCGATGATGTTACTAGTGTAAATTGTAATAAACTCTTTTATATTTTTTGTAAAAAAGAAGCACGACATAATAAAATTTATATTTTACGATAAAAAAATGTAGTAATAATGTCAACAAGATGTACGAATAGTTTTTAAAAAAATTGGAATAATAAAGATCAGGAATTATAAAGAAAACAATTTAATATCAATAATTTGTATAAAATTAATATCTTTTATTTTCTACGAATTTTTATTAATAAAAGAAAAATTTAATTATCACAGCTGTAACAGCATTGTAATTGCTATAATTTCAACTACATAATAAATATTAACATGAATTAAACTTGATAAATATGATTCTGTATTTATTATTTTTTTATATTTTATATAGATAAAAATATGTATATATCTAATATAATATATATTTTGAATCACTAGAAAAATAGGAGAGATAAAGACAAAAATTTATATTTCTATTCTTTGTTTAGGAAAGTAAATTTATATTAATCTTAAATTGCTATGTGCATATCACTCTCAAATATTTGAGATATCTATTTTTATGCTAATTCTAATATCCATTTTTACTAAAGCAATGAGGCACTTGATTATCGTACAATTTAAAAGCATGTTTATAAACAATGCATTAAATTTCTATTAATATAATATTTTCACAAATATTTTGATATTATCTTATATTATATCAGTTTCAATGAAGTTTAAAAACTCTTGAATTTCGAAGACCGTTTTTTATCTTTTGGTCACATTGATTACAATATCTTTTTATATAATCTAATATTCATATACTAATCATCCATTAATACTAGTAATATCATCATTGTTAATAAATCTTTTTGACAATAAAACTTGATTTTCTTCTCCTCTAAAATTATGTCTAATATATAAGAAAATGCCGATAGATATAAATAAAATGCCAATACAGGCAATACCATAACAAGTTATGCTACCTAAAGATTCCAGAATAATAATAAATTTTATAATACGAGCGTAATTAGCAGTTAAATAAGCTTCTTGAGTAAACCATAACATTGGTACAAATGTTTTTTTAACATTTTTAAACATGCTGAAAATGATATTGTATTTGTTTAAGTTTCATTTTAATGTTAACATTTATTTATTAAGAAAAATGTATTTTCTTTTATTTATTTATAAAAAAAATTAAACAAAGACTTACCTCATATGAGCATCATTTTGTATCAATAAATTTAATTGTAATGCTGCATTTACGTTTAATGGAACACCCGTTTTCTATAACAAATTTTTTATAATAATTATTGATTATCAATTATAATTTCATACAATAATTACCGGTTCTATGGATATTGAAAGCTCATGTTTTTCTTTATTAGGTTCCATTCCCTTGATATTTTCTCTATAACTTCGATCTGCTAAATAAAAATGTGGTAAACTGATGAATGCTGGAGCACCCCATTTGCATAATGAAATATTTAATGCTCCAGAGGGAATGCACTCTCCTACACAATAACATTTACGTGATGATACTTTTGTACCATCATCAAATATTGTATCATCGCTAATATATCTAGCGCCTCTTAATCCTTCATGAATAGTTGTATTATCATATGTTATTGACATACTCCTATTAATATATTGATAAAAATTATTGTTATATCATATTTATTTAATTTTCCGTACTTTTTCCAAAAAATTAATCTTACGTGCAAATATCAGGTACAAAGAAAGAAATAGTTTTATTATCAGGTAATGGTGGCCATAAATCACCATTTGTACCTTTAACTATTCCACATTCTCCAGGATAATAATTTACTCTAGTATTAAAATTCCATTCTTTGACTATTCCTACATTAAGTAAATTAGATTTACCAGTTAGCATGTTAAATGTTCCATCATAACTTGCAGAACCATTTCTCTGTAAATCAAAAAATTTCAATTATTTTATAATAGTTTTAATAACATTAATATGATATTTACCCCATAAAACCAAGCAAATTTAGAAAAAGGAATTTTAGTAAAATTCATCTTTCGAGCAATTTTCAACATAGGATCATCATAACCTTCAAAAAGTAATTCATTAACAGTTTTGGTAACTATTAATTTTTGATCGATTGCTTTCATTATTTTATCTACTATATTACGAAAAAGAGGTTTTTGATATCTTAATGCATATGCAACACTCTGAAAATATTATTAAAGAAAAATATTATAATAAATAGGAATAATATATAATATATCAATATATAATAATATTAAAAGATACATACAGCAGTTATAGGATTTATATTAGTTACATTATCTTGTAAACTTCCTGCTGATAAAGATTCTTCAAAATACCATACTCTTTTTCTTTGATAAGTTATAGTATCATTTTCATGCCATTTTTGTTCTACTTTATAATCAACTTCTCTATTATAATAAAATATCATTTACCATTTAATTTATTATGTTAATAAAATATTCTATTATATTTAATTTGAATATAATAAAATAAATTTGATACCTAAATACATAAGGACCCATTTCCACAAAATTTGGTTTTGATCCATTAATTGAAATAAAATTTTCATAATTTGTTAAATTAAACATATATAATTTCAGATACATAGGAATAGGTGTTACTTCCCAAAGCTTGTAACTTGTAGATGTAGGTGTTAAAGATAATTGCTATAAAATAATATATAAGACATAAATATTAATTAAAATTATAACAAATTATTCTTATATTTACCGTATGTATAATTGAAGAATAAATTGTAGACCAAAGAATTCCTGTAATTAATCCAATAATTGTTAACACTGAACCTATTAAAGAAATGATAGCAAGTTTTTTATAAATCTTCATCATTTTATTTGACTATCTGATCTGAAAAAAAAAATTTTTTTTATCAATATTTATTTTTAATTATAAATTATTCAATACATAGTAATTAATAGTTATAAATAATTACACAGTTGCTTATTATTATGTCACATATCTTTTAATTTATTTAATTTTATTTGAGTACTGATTCTATAAAAGTTTATATTATTTTATAGAATTAAACATACGACTTTTATTAAAAATAGTGATTATTATATTAATTTGTTCAAACTTAAATACACGATTCATGTTTTCAATAAAATCAGTTCACACAATTAAGTGGTTATGATCAACGATATGTCAGGTTAAAATATAACACAAAAAAAAACAAGATAATATTATTTTAAATATCATTCAAATCATTATAATAATTTAATATTATAATATAAATGAATATATAGAAGTTATATTAAAAAACATTTCGTGTAATACTTTTGTTGCAATATATAGTCAAAGATAAAATTGATTTAAACAAAACAAAGATGGTTTATATCTATTCGATGATCTACGACGTTTACGCATAGTTAATATTGTATCAGATTGGACAAAGTTCATTTAATTCGGTTAATTTATAACTTATAACTTATATTATAATTTATAATATATAGAAGAAAGCTGGATATTTTACATTATAACATTGTAAAAATTACATTATAACATTGTATAAATCCTTCTTAAATAATTTATGTAACATTATTATTTAAACTAATGGTTTGATATTTTAATTGTTGTATAAAACATTATAAAACATACATACATATATATATATATATATTATTTAAATATATATATTTTACTTATATATTTGAATGATATTAAAATTTGTTGGATATATATTCGTTGATAATACTCGTCCGAATATTAAAATATAAATTAAACAATTTATTTTAAAATGTGATTTCCTTTAGTTATACTGTATAATTAATTAAGATTAAGTAAAAAAATATATGTATATATATTTAATAAAATAAAATAAA